CGCCCCCCAAAAATGCCAACTTCAATTTTTAAGAACAGATGTTTTGTAGAAAAAATAAAAAGCACAAAACTTTTATTATATTTTTTCTTAAAACAACTAATTTGTATAAAACTATGACCCTTAAAGGTGAGTACTGTGCCCTAGGCGGCTGCCTAGCTGGCCTAATGGTAGTGCCGGCCCTGACTGCAAGATTCTGAGTAAAGAAGGTTATTGGATTTGTGATTAACAAAATTGTTTCTCTTGCTGGTGATATGCCAGTTTAACAATCCTCGTTTGAGCAGCATAGCATATCCAGACTGAGGATCAGGGAATGGGGAAAAAAATAAGGAAATACTGATAAAAGGATTTTACAATGATTAGAAAATGATAAATTGCAAAAGTGAGAGCAGATGGAATACTTGGGGGTAATATTCCTTTAAACATTGCTACCAATTTTATAGTATTGTTTCTGCTGTTGCCATTTGAAACATTTGTAATAAATACTTTCTTTAGCACAGGGCAATCTCAACAGTGGGGGGTGGGGTACTGTAGACTTAGCATTCAAGTCTTAGATACACCCGTTTCCACTCGTACAAAACATCTTTTTACTTTTGTGAAGTGATTAAAATAACTTTTATATGTAATTAAAATAAGTTTTGAAAAATAGTTAAATAAAACCTTATACAGAAGATTTATACTGTTGAATTGTTGGTATGCTTTTCTTTAGTGGTTTTCGTATTTTTTAAAATTTGATTAGTAAAATTTATAAGTTCCTTTGTGAATAATGTTACTTAGCTGATGAATGGAGAGGTTGCTTATTGAGCATAAAACTACTCTACTGTAACAGTTAATATGAACAGAGCAAAAATAAGTGTATAGATAAAATATTTTGCTAGAGCGTGTTTGGGTATTCATAATAGTCGATTTAAAATACAAGATTGGTATGTTAGGTTAAATTTTATGAAGTTAAAAAAAAAACCTGCTATAAATTTGTTAGTTGTCAGCAATACTCGTATACAGTTAGTTGCTTATTACTATTTTACTAATCTACAACCTAATTTGTTTAACAAAAATAAGCAAACTTTTGTAACTCAAATATGATTTTATATATCCTGATAACTGGCGTATAGATCTAGATGAGAAATACCTAACATATTAATGTTCTTTTCATTTATGCTGATTTTATTTACCTCGCAGTGGTACTTTAGTTTAATTTAGTGTAGTATTTTCCATAATTCTGATTGAAATCATCTAGGTTGAGACGGCCCAAGATGTTCGAGAAGTATATTGTCATCGAGCTGTCCTAGCCAGTGCTAGTCCTTACCTTTTTGAGCTGTTTTCTACTGATCCTAATGGTGGCCAAGTTTGTCAGTACAAAACCAATGGCAGCTTTGATATTGATGCTTTTGAAATGCTTGTGGACTATGCTTACACAGCTAGGTTAGTGCTGACATTACTAATCAGTTGGCTTTCTACTGCAAATATCAATTCAACAAAGTAGTGACTCATTGCTTTTGTTCTTGCAGAATAATTTAGATTTTTGAAGTTTCACTTTACAAGATAATGTACACTTCTGAACTTCATCTAACTAAAAAACAAATGCATCAATGTTAATAGGAATTGCCTGCTGCAGTGACCTTTGACAAATTTTGTGAATGAACAGTGTTTTGGGGTTTATTTTAATGATTGAAAGTTGGAGAAGTAAATCAGATTTAGGCTATTTTAACACACGACAGCCAGACAAAAATAAAGTTCCATAGTTTTGAAGAAATTACTCATTGTTTTGTAAAATTGCACCATAAAAAAATGAATCTAATGTTATTCAAATTATAAATATAGAATAATTAGATTACCAGCAAGTAAAATTATTATCGGCCATTTTATTCTCTTGGAATTGAATAATTTAAATATCCAAACATTTTGAAATTTTCTATTAGGACAGAAGAAAGATAAGTAGATTGTCTAATCCTCCTTAGATGCAAAACAAAGTTTGTATAGTAACTAATTTTCCACATAGAATCTTCTCAGACGGTGTAGATTAACCAAGAAGGGTTTTGTGTTTAGTGTATCATTGGACTATTTTACAACTAATAGTGGTGGAAATAAAAAAAATGTATGTACATAATGATTGTTCACACTAAGAAAAAATAAATTTGGACTTGAAAATGTTTAGTAAAGATGTGTTTAAAGTAGCATTCATCTAACTACAGGTGGTATATTTATATCCATATTGCCATTCTTTGCTGATTTGTCTGTCTTTGGGACAAGTTTTTTTTTATTTTTCTCTAATTCAGAATAAATAAAACTTTGATTTATATCAGCTGTTAAAATTTAAACGAAACATGTTGAATGAATTCAAGCTCCTTTAATCTGCCACGTTAGTAATCTTGAATATTACCTAATCTAACTATGAAGAGTATTGTGTTGTAAAGAAATGTTGCTGTTGCTCAAAAACAAAAGTGCTTAAACATGGGTTATTAATGAAATGAATTCTGTTTTAAACTGGTTAATCTGGCTATAATATCTGAAAGTTTCTGTTATATTGTATTTCTCGACAAAATGCCAATGGAAAATCAAACTGACTTTAGATCGTATTAGTTTTCAAAGTGGATCTATTTTGAATATAAGCACTCGAGATTAGTAAACTATAACTTGACTCATTCTTACTAGATACAACTAGAGAATTGTTTTTGTATACGTAAGCTAGTTTTCACTTTTGTTATTCATGTAACTCATCACTTGTGACTGAAATAAAACTGTATTAACACTCGTCCAGCTAGTTATCTTTTATTGGAAGGACTTATTGAACCTGCACAAGATAGATAAATAATGCAAGTAATGATTGATGTATCATAAGTATGAGACAAGATATTTTAATCCATTAGTTTAAGTTTGTGTGCTTAACATAACCATTTTATATTGTACTTGACTAATTCTGATTACTAACATTACCAAGATAATCATGATCTTGCTATAGGGCGGTCTAATTAAGAGATATCTAACTATTCCAAACTGACTTTATAGGCTTGAAATCCCTGCAGATAAAGTCAAAGAAGTATATGTAGCAGCTACAAAACTGAGGATGACTTCAGCTGCGAGACAGTGTCATGATTTTCTTATAAAACATCTCACACCAGACAATTGTATAGGTAATGTAACATAGTTATAAATTAAACCTCTTTATATGTGAATAATTGAAAACTTGGTTTTGTATTTATCTGAGATGTAGAAGGAAAAGTTTTCTTTAGCAACTCAGAGGAAATCCTCAATAGCCACGGCACTTTTAGGCAGGATTAAAGTAAATTAATCCGAGACCTTCCTTGGGCATGGTCAAATACATCTGTCAAGGGTTTGACCTCCTGAGTCCAAAACTATAATTAGATCTCAAATTGGTCATGATATGACTGAGCTAAAAGTTTGTACTTGAAAAAAAAACAAAAAAAAGCCATTCAATGAAAAAAACGGAGTAAAGGAAAGCAGCATCCATTACCAATTGGTATTAGAAAGTTTTCAACACTGAATATTTAAATTTGGAAATATGTTTGTAATTGTAGTAAGTTTGTGGATTTGGACTTTACTTCATTGTTTAAGTTGTACCACAATTAAGAAAGAGATAACATTAGTTATTAATATTATTGGTCTACATTTTAAGTAATTTAATATTGGATCAAAAATAACTGCATGATTTGAGGCTTTTTATTTTATAGTGTTTGACTGTTTCTGTATCTGTTCACACATTGATTGTAAATAACATATTCAATTTTAGATGTCCGTTCCATCCCTGGTGTTTCTGCAGACTCTGCTCCTGAATTTATTGCAGCAGTGGATAACTACATCAGACAAAACATTGATGATATTATTCAGGAGAAAGTGTTCTTGAGTCTTCCCCATATACAGGTTAAACAGCTGCAGAAAAGCAGTGAAGAAATGCAAGCAACCAATCATAGACACTTGTGTGAAATGGTTTTGGACTGGATTAAGAAATGTTTTGATGAGAATGATTTGAAAACTGGCCTTGTTTATGAAAAAGTATGTTGATTTAAAATATTTTAGTGTTTCTTGACACGAGTAATCTATATCTTTCAGGTGTTAAGTGCATGCCTGCATACCAAATTTCAAACTTTTAAGTAAAGTTTTAAGTTCATATTTTAGTCTTTAAAACAAAACCCATCTATTACTTTACAACAAAAGAAATTGTTAATCCCATGGAAATATAATGGTTCTTGGTTATCATGTGATATTTCTTTATCTGTCAATTGTTTATATCCTTTGCGATATCACAGAATGTGATCTGAATAGTTACTAATGAAAATTAGCTTTGAAAAATGTGAAAGCAAATTAAGAAATATTAGGGGTAGATGATATTATAATCTACAAGCTGAAATACCCGTCAACTGATGGGGAATGTTTAAACTTAATTAAAACAATGCAAGTTTAACAGCAATTGTATATTTCAAAGTAATAACTTGAACATAAACTTTCTCGCTATTTTAAAATTATAACAGCTTCTTCATAAACAATATTTGCAGTTTGCTTTCCATCTACCAACAAATAAAGATTTTGAGGTGATCTCACTCCAGAATTCCCTACATCACATTGACCATGAGAAAAGCATTGTTGTTTGAGAAACAATACAGCAATTTTCATACTTTGACCTTGAATCCCTTTAGAATATTCAACATTTTCTAAAGCATCAACCTTTACAAAATAGAAATAGGGTTAAGCTAAATTTTGACAACCTAGTCAATTGACAATCTCTAGTCCAGATAGGGTTAATTAGAAAAATGATTTATGTATTACTTGTTTTATTATAATATAGTAAATGGTTTTTATTGAAAATAACATGTTTTGATGAAATTCCAGAAATTATATTTCAGGTAGTTTGAATTTTTTAATCTTAGATCTGAAAAGTCTCCAACTTGACTGTTTGGTAGGTGAAAATAGAACTAAATGTAAATTTTGTCTGAACTAACACAATTTATTTCGAGAGTGCTGGTGAGTTATGTTATTAAAAGAAGATATCTATGGGCTTGTTGCAGAAGATTTTCATAAAGTTCTTCAAACAGTGGTGGATAGATAACCTTTTTTTTCTTTTTTTTGCAGGACTTGTAATCAATATGCTAGAGAAGTTAAGGCAACTTAAATTTTGCCATGAAATACAACAATGTATTAGGAATGATAATAGAAGCTACCAAGTATTTTATATTTTCTTTATTTTTAAAGTTTGATTTAATTTTAGTTCTAGTTCCAAAATTTATATTAATGTAGTCATTGATAATAGGGGACGGGGAGGGGGGATATTTTGGTCTTTATAGTGAATTTTCAATAGGTCAAGTCTTGCAAAACCAATTTTATAAGATTTGAGAATTGATCTATTATTTTAGAACTAATATCTTTGTTTGTTGAATGATGTGCTTGCCAAGGAGAGTGAAGAATAAAGAAAATGTGAGTGAAAGAGTGTTTTTACTTTTGTCATTAGGTGCACATGCTCTACTTGAATGAGGATGGGACACTTCATGATTGTAATGACATTGAAAATGGTGATGTTCAAGATTCAGATATCATTCAAGATTATAAAAAACTGTCTCGTCGTGTTTCACTTCCCAACAGAAGATTGTCTGCTCAGAATATCTCCCACAAACCACGCCAGTTTCTGTACACAAAGTCCGATTCTAGCTCTTCTCTGTCCTCGTTATCTGATGATGAAGAATATGACTGGAGAGTAATAGCCACCACTTCGAGAGGCAGTAAGTTTTTTGTTAAATGATCACCTCGTGAGAGCACATGCATATTTGCTTCAGTTTTTAATTATAAAAGTTTAAAGACAAGAAAGCATTCTGAGTGTGCATATAGCTGTTATTATTAGTGATGGTGGTAACTACTTAATACAAGCAAATAGGGATTATGCAGAATAATAGATTGGAAATTTATGTTAGAATTTTCCTCTAAAATTTCAAACATTGCACATAAATATAAGAACATGTAATTTATTGAAAAGAAAGTGTGTTTATTAGGTTACAAGTTGATTTTAATCAAGATCCTTATTAGCAGTCATTTCTGATTTAACACCATTTTGAAATGTCCTAGTAACCAATGTAACAGAAGTTCATGGTTTGTTGACCATAATTTCTGGACGTGCTTTTATTTTATATGTAGCGTACTTTAATCCCCATGTCATATGAAAGTAACTATGCTTAATATGTGATTGTCTGCGGATTGTACGATTAAAGAATATATTTCCTCGGGCAATTTAAAAATAAGTATTTCATTATTTTTTAATAATGAAATACTTATGTGTATATACTTATACACTACAGACTAATGGTAAAGTAATGTTCTTCATAACCTTCTGTTACGTGTAAGTTTACAAAGTTGTTGTTGTATGTATATGTTATTGTAAAATACATTTGACTTGGTTTGTCCTTGTCTATCTAGCTCGATCTTGTGGACAAGATATGTCGAGGTTGTATTGATGGATAATGACCAAACTTGTACAACATACAAAGTTCAAGACCTGATTAACTTTTGAAGGTTAAAGGTCAAGATCAAAGTTTGGGCATGGATGTTTCCCTTTCATTGGCACATGTATGGGACACAGTTTTAGCCTTAGTGTGTGAGATAACTTGCACTTCCCAAAATATACCATCTTGAAGTTTTGTATGAAATGAACTAGTTTTTCACTGTGTATTTAAAAGTAAACCTGGCACGGAGTTAGCTATAAAAGCCAAAGTGAAAGAGCTCAATGATGGTAGTTTTAGTTTTCAAGAAGGAAATTTATTTGGGTTTCAAATTAAGTGAAATAACATTAGCCACTAACCAGAAATTATCTTGGTAAAACTTAATTTATATTTATTCAAGTGTATTTTTTTTTTTAAAGATACAAAAATCTTTAAGAATAACTTGTTTGATATACAGCATTGTTATATATTAGGTTGAATTAATTTTTGATTTATTACAGATCATTGAGTTGGCTTTATATATTTAAATTTGTATTATTTTAAATAAAATTTAAAGTATAACCTTCCTATTTTTATGCAGAAAACACAATATTAGCTCTGGTTGTGGTGTATGGAAATTTGAATCTTTTGTCCGTCAATCAGAGATTGAACACCCCATCTAGCAGCCCGGCGGTGTCAAGGCCAGAATCGGTTGAGAAAACCAACATCTATTCTATGATCCCTCCTATGTCTTCAGGACGCTGTGCAGTGGGTACAACTGAACTCCAGGGCAAGCTTTTAGTATGTGGTAAGAATGTTTCTACAATCCTTTTGTCATCATAAAGTACAATACAACTCATTGACCTTGAATCAAATGACAATCTTGCATCACCATAGATTTATTGTTCATTGAAGCACCACACTTTTTGTAATAAAGGCCCAACTTTTTTTATTACCAACAATTTGTAATATGAAAATGTTTCATTTCTACATGAAGTACTAGATTTAATTTGGTTGAGTAGAATTCAAAGTTTCACCCTGGGTGATGTTGAATAGTTATAATGTAAAGTTTCACCCTGGGTGACGTTGAACAGTCAGGATGTGAAGTTTCATCCTGGGTGGGGACGTTGAACAGTCAGGATGTGAAGTTTCGTCCTGGGTGGTGACGTTGAACAGTCAGGATGTGAAGTTTCGTCCTGGGTGGTGACGTTGAACAGTCAGGATGTGAAGTTTCGTCCTGGGTGGTGACGTTGAACAGTCAGGATGTGAAGTTTGGCCCTTGAACAGTTTTGAATAGTTTACAACTGTAACTATTTCATGCTTTCAGCAGGGTAGAGAAAATCCTAAATAGTGTGTATGGTTTAAAATGGTTTATTTTTTGAGCCAAAGAATTTTTGGAACAAAACATTTTAAAACTAGAAAAAGTTGATTTTAGTACAAGTGTAGTAATCTAACATTGATTTTGGTCTGAAATGTGGCTTATGTTATTGTCTTGTTTGTTACATAACCAGTAAAAACATTAATAATGTGTTAGTAAAACTAGCCATTGTTGGTGATTTGGTAAAATTAGTATTAAAAATTAATTCATAGTATTTCAAAAAAGATAACATGTTAAAATAATATTGAGTTAATGTCAAAAGTAACCTGCTCAAAATTTAACAACAAACATGATGGCAGTATTTCAATTAATTGGATCGTTGGAATAATCAAAAACCTTAATTTTGATTAATAGAATATTTTTGAGGCATAACATTAAGTTGAACGTACTTGAATTAATTGAGAATCATAATGGCCATATTTTGATTACTGGATAGTAGGAAATGCTAATTTTTATTAGATTATTTTCTTGACATTAATATATTTACTTGTAATTTTAATTCATTATTTAAATGATACTAATCAGTGCATCTAAGTATTCTGTTAATTGAGCTTTAATTATTTCTAATTTTCGTTTTATTTTTCATACTTAACATTCTTAAAGAAGTTTTTTGATACTTTATTAATAGAGGTGTTTTGAAAATGTACTGTTGCATGTAAGGGTTGAGAAGATCGATTGTGTAATTCTTGCATCAAAGTATGAAAGAATCAAACAGAAAACTATTCTATTTGAATTATGTTTCAGTAACTGAAGATGTCTGTTGTAATTTGATTTTTTGTTCCACTTTTGTTTGTTTAATAAACGGTAGATTCAGTGATGACATTCTCCTTAACATGTTTGTCATTGCAACAGTTTTAACTCGTGTATTAAGTCAATAATGTACAGTCACTTGCATTGTTGATTTGTGTCAAAGAAGCATGAGAAACAGGCAGTTCAATTCCAAGAATTGTTCAGCAAACCTGTTCATTTCAGTGACGATCATATTCACAATAGCCTCTATCACAAACAGTTTGAAAATGTCATCTGGAATGCCATCTGGCACCAAACCTGTTCGTTTCAGTGACCATCATGTTCACAATATCCTCCATCACAAACAGTTTGAAAATGTCATCTGGAATGCCATCTGGCACCAAACCTGTTCGTTTCAGTGACCATCATATTCACAATATCCTCCATCACAAACAGTTTGAAAATGTCATCTGGAATGCCATCTGGCACCAAACCTGCAACCACTTGAGATGTGCAGTAAATGAAATCAGTTGGTCTAACATATGTAGTCTGAAGAGTCTCCCATCCATCAACTGATATTGGTATTCTAGTGTCACTTTCAGTGACTGGATCGGCAGTGTCAGTTACAGACAAATCAGCTCGAATGTTTACCTGGTCTGTATAATCCAGGTCTTTCATCATTATTATTCCCAGAATCACTAGACCCATAATTAATATCTTTATCCAAGTCATCTTCCTCAAATGTCTCGGGATCAGATTCTTGTAAAATACTCTGTTTCACTCGGACTAAAATGTCTGTTGATTGTTCCAAAACCAGAATAAATTTCATATTCACTCACCATGTAACTTTTATCTTTGTATTCAGTTATTCTGTTGCTGCAATTCCTTTATTTTTCCACAGAGAAAAAACTTTGTTCCTTAATTTAGTGTTATACTGAAGATATCATAAACACACATTGATTATAATTTGAGCTTGTTTTTATACTTAAAAGTTCAACAGTAATAGTGCAAACTCGGTTTTGTAATGACCAGAACATTTCAAAGGCCTGCCAGATGTTTGTGATCCAATACTCAGTCAGATGTTGTTGTCTGAAACTCCAAGCCATAGTTTTGGGGTTACAATAGTTTTTCATCTGCTACTGTTTTCTCTGAATTTGTTTTTAAATTGTATATTTAACATTATTATTATTAAAAACTAGAACTTCCATGTAAATTCAGGTTAGTACATGTGTAAGTGTAACATTTGAAGTTAGTTTATAAATGTAATAACATTATAGACTGTTTTAAGCAATTTCTATATATTTTCATGTCTCTAGGTGGCTACGATAGAGGGGAGTGCCTTCGAACTGTTGAGCTTCATGATCCTATAACAAACAAATGGACCACGATGGAGTCTTTGAAGTCTCCACGTGGCCGTTTTGATGTAGCAGTTGTGGATAATGAAGTGTATGCCATTGGTGGATCTGATGGAACCAAAGAACTAAACTCGGTTGAAGTTTTTAGCCCGGTAACTTCTACTTGGAAATGGTGTCTATCAATGAGTGTTTGTAGATCAAATGTTGGTGAGTATTTTGTTTTCATTGTCACCAAAGTGTTAGGTATTCAACCAATTTCGTTTTAATTTTTATATCCCTACGTCTTATCAAAGACATGATTGTAATGTTAACTAAATTTCGATTTATTTTCCCGTCCAAGGATGCATTTATATGTGCTAAACAAAATATTTCTTCACCACAGCAATGTTGTATTCTACTCGTGCTATCTCGCATTGATTTCTTATTTCTACCAAACATTTTTCACGTCAAATCTTGTATGAGCAGAACCATTCTTTCACAAATGATGAATATAGTAACAGAATTTATGAAAAAACTTGTTATGCAAGTAAATTCTTTCACATTGATATGTGCATTTAAGTTGTTGAAGTCAAAACATAGTTTAAGTTTATATTTTCCAGGGTTTGTGTTTGAAATTAAAACCCTGTGCTTCGGATACCATAGTGATCTCAGATTTAAAAAAATTTAATGTAATAATAATTTAAAATGAAAGAGTAAGGTGATTTTGTAGGATCATTGTATTTCTTTTATCATTTCATTCATTTTTTTTTTTACAAAAATGATTAACTGTTCATTTTTAGAATGAAGATGTTTTCTTTCACTTAATGTTTCAGGTGTGACCTATTAGGAGCCCAGACCTGGTAGCAGACTTGTCCTGTTCTTCTGTTCTCCCACAGTTTGTCTTAACTTTCTGCCAAGATTCCAGTAATAAACAGATGTTCTTCAGGCTGGCGAGTTCCTTCATCAACACAGAGAACTTTTCTTGTAGTTTGGATGATCCGTATGTCCTGGTCCATATGTTGTTACTTTGCTGTGAGCCAATTAATTGCAGGTTTAGAGTGATGAGCCTGTTGGTCGTATAATTATCCTGCCAGGTTCTTCAGAGTTGGGTTCTTACCAGGACACTGTTACTTTGTAGATATTCAGAACTGTCCTCTTTCAATGCAGCGAGAATTTATTTATTTATTTTTTGATGCAATTACAGGATCTGCTTTTGACTTACTTTAACTCATGAATTTATTCACGTATCCAAACAGGGATGTTTCCTGTATATTAGGCTGTACTCAGAACAGTTGCTGGACAAAAGTTTTCAAATGTATGTAATAGAGCACTTTAAAATATCGTACCATAATTAAAAACTTAAGTTGCTTAGGCAGTCGTGATTACGTAGTGACTTTTTTTCTTTTAATACACTAGGAGGTAAAGGGCTAAATGCATTGAAATTTTTACTTTTCCTAAGGCTTGTACTTCGTGTTTTTGGTGACCACCGAAACACTAGTTTAACTGTTCTGATGTGCAGTCAACGTCAAACACCCAAGACTAATGACCAAATAAATGGTCAGCATGTGGTCAGTAATCCATAAATATCAATATATATGTGTGTATATATGTATGCCTGTTAAAGTTAATGTATGTACAAGAAGGATATATGGGAAAACTAAGAAGATGGGTTGCTTAGTAACTTTCTGATCGGAGGATTATCGTCAGGAGCAGCCCAGTTGTAATCTGTGATCAGAAGGTTATTCAAATGAGTCATTCTGGAAACTTCAAAATGCTTCTTGTTTGTATATTCTGTACCTAAACGTTATAAAATCAAGGACATTTTTGTTCCTCAGTTGACAACCTACAGGGAGGAGCAAAGCAGCAAACATGATAAATAGTATGTTTTTAAGTTTTGCTTCATCCTCTTTTTTTCTTTTGCCACCAGGTGGTGAAATGTTTCTAATTTATACGATCTCTCCTGCATTATGTAGGTGGACCATTGTTAGCTAAACTTGGTAGTCTTATTAAAATGGGACAATATTCCATACCTGTACTTTCTTTACAGGTGTCTGTAGCTTGGATGGGAAAATATTTGTTGTGGGTGGGTGGAATGGACAAAGAGGATTGACTTGCTGTGAAGTCTTTGATCCTAAATCTCGGATCTGGATGAATATTGCACCTCTGTCAGTTGGTATGTGGAGTGGTTTATGGTATGGTTAAAAAAAAAAAAGCTCACTGTATGGTTGCCTTGTGCTTGAAGAACATGTTTATTTACTGATAAATAGACAACAAAAAATATTATAACAAGTGAGTTAACCTTCAAAGATAAGTTAATTGTTTAGCATGATAAAAGCTGGAGTAAGTTTACTAAAAACTTTGTAATCTAAAATTAACTTGTGCAGTTCACTAACACTATTCTAAAGAGAATTTGGTTAGGGAAAAACTTGCATATTTATAATACATTAAATCATCAAAATATTTTATGCTACTGTGAAATATTCTCTGCAGTTTAATTTATCTTATTGAGAGTATTTAAATATAAACCCTTTATTTTTAGTTTTGGTTCAAGTGTAACTTTGTTGTTCCCGAGACCTGTCTGAAATATTATTAACTGCTTACATGATTGATCGTGTGTAGAAGTTGAACAATGTATATATTTAAGATGAGAAGTAAGAAATCAACAGTATAAGTAAAATGGCTATGTCATTATAGTGAAATACTGTTTTTTTTCTTAGAATTATTTTGGTCAAGTTATTTTTGGGAGAATGTACTGGCATATTTCAAAGTTTATCATTAAGAGCAGCAGTTCCCAACCTTTTCACCACTGAGGACCCCCTTTCATTATTATTTTTTTTCCCCACAGACCCCATGTTTTTATGAAAGATTCCATCTACTCAAATAACTTATTTATTTTTTTCATTTTTCACTATCAAATAAAGATGTATATAACTGAGTGTGCAATTAAAAGAACAGCAGAATTAAAAACTCACTTGTTTAATGACATGGTATTATCTTCTGGGGGTCCGGGGACCACAGGTTGGGAGTCACCGATTAAGAGAATAGTCTTTACTCTCAGCTGATTGAAAAAATTGAATTTGTTTGTGTTAAGCATCATTAATGTTTCAGTTTGTATAGTTTGACTCGGGAGACTAAGGAATAACTCAAGATGGTTTAATATCTAAAATTTCTGGTTTATAGGTTCTTTAAATGTAGACAAGTGTTACTGATCTATTACAGGCCGATATCAGGCTGGAGTTGGAACTATGAATGGCGAAGTTTATGCCGTAGGAGGTTGTGATTCCTGGAACTGCATTAGTTCTGTGGAGAAGTATGATCCTAGTTTAAACATCTGGACTTTGGTTTCTTCGATGCACACGGCTCGTCGGGGATGTGGAGTGTCTGTCTACAATGGTATGTTAATTCTGTACACAGTGAAATTAATATAGTATTTCATATGCAATCTTGTTGTTTACAAAGCCATGGGTTTTGTAAGATTTTACATTCACGAGAAAAATTTCTTATGACAGGTAAACTATATGCTGTGGGAGGACACAATGGTGTTCATTCCCTCTCAAGCACAGAAATCTATGACCCACAGACCAACACCTGGAGCCCTGGGCCTAACTTAACTTGCTGTAGAGCCAATGTTGGTGTTTGCGTTGTTGGAGATCGACTATATGCTGTCGGGGGATTTAATGGAAAGACATTCCTCAATACTGTTGAATTTTTAGATGCTCAGACAAATGAATTTACAACCTTTGTTTCAAGAGAAGCTGTTACCTCAGTGAATGAACAGAATGGCATGTCAGTCTGAAATTTTGGAGATTTCTTCAGAGGAAGAAAAGTAAAAATTCTAATGACAAATGCATTTTCAGGCTGCCCTTTTGAATTTCTTTTTTTCTTATTTTCAGTGAATGAAGCATGTCAGAAGTTGTAGCATGAACATTTGATAATATCAACCAATCCAGTATAAGCAATACTGTTAAAACAAATTGTGTTTTTAAAGTACAAAAATTGAGGCTTTATAAATGCTAGGGAGGTTTTATTTGTGATTTGTGTGTGTGATTGTTTTGCTTGGCTGTACAGAACACAATATATGATCTTAGTGGTAGTGCCATAAAGTTACTGTGTTCTCTCTTGAATAAACAGCCACAACTGATACAAGGAAGTTTTTGGAGTCTGATTGGAAAGCATCAAAATACAAGGTTTGAAGAAAGAAAAGCCAATACCAGTATATAGTCAAAAATAGCTATTGATAATACAGTAAAGAGTACCTTTATTACAAGTATTTTTTTGTTTTTACTAAATTTTAGTTACCTCGTTTAAGTTACTGCATGTACATATAAAGTTTATCAAAAACAACTGAACTGATTTATAGCACTTGTTATATCCAACAGGTTAAAAATAACCTCTAGTATGTTAGTTTTCCAACTGTATATATGCAAAATATTTTTAGTGTTTTTCAGTTGTTAAAAATTGTTTACTTGTTCAGATGAAAGTTTTTAGTATCCAATCCCAGTGAATTTGGTAACAGAACATATATAGTAGAATTGAAATAGACAAACTCAAAATGCTGAACAAAATTTAAAATTTTTACATGTACTATGTGCAGATTCATATTAACAGGCTTCAAAATCTTATAAATATCTTAGTAGTTGGCAATACTTTGGTGTTCTATGTGAAAAGTATCACTAATATAAAATACTTTGCTTATATAATGAAATGATACTTGGCCTTTATTAATATAAATGCTCACTTTTTGTTATACAAATACAGGCAATTATTGGGCTTGCTTAACTGTCCACTATTGTGTAATTATATGAATAAGTAAAGAAAGGGTTATTTTTTCTTTAATATTTAAAGGTTTAAAGTTGTGAAAATGTGTTTTATATCTCTACTATAATAGGAATAGTAGCATATAGTAACTGTAGATACTTTTTTTTTCCTATTTGAAGCTCTTGTATGCAGAATATTTTTAAAAGTTTTAGAGTAACTTAAAGCTTTCTTATGATTCTGCACACTAGGCATGTTTAAGTAAAAAATTAATTGATGTATGTAACTTTGGACTTGTTACTGATCTTTATATGTGATCAAGATGCATTTTTCACACCTGACTGAACTATCAATATATAAGTTGATCGGGGCAGTTTTAACTTGCATGACAAACTAACACGGTAAGCATAAGAACGTTATAAAACTTATCATAACTGTAGATATGACATACATGTACTGTAGTTTTTTTATTTCCATCCCGGCAGTGAGAGTAATTACCTTATATGGTGACTTTGTTAATGTAACCAAGTTTTTTTTTTTATTTGTAATAATAGTGGGCAGTAGTTAGATATGGAAAATAGTTTTCTGAAGTAAAAGAAAACTTTTTAAGGCTAAACTTCTCAACGGTCAACCTCCTTGCATAATATTTTTACTTCTGCACTTAATACTTGTATAAGAAGTTTTTAGAAAATTTTCATAGTGATTTTGTTACCTTAATAATTTTATTCTTGCCATACAACATTAAAAAATTTTAAACATCTTAGATAATTTTTATTCTGTCTTACGAAAAACGTTTTTATTATGTTCCATTTTCTTACAGGGAAAGTTCTGCCTTTTTGGAAATATTTTCTGACCATTATATAATAACTAATTATTGTATAAGCCATTTTTGTGGATCCAGAAGTGATTTTTTTTTTTACATGTTAAGAATTAACTAAATTTTAAAATCTTTTAGACTTGGTTTAGTTTTTCTACTTATCAAAAGCTTTTGAGTGCAAGAAACACTTAACACTTTCAAATATGTTGGGTTTGATTCACACCAACTTTTATTACTATGTACTACAGAGTATAACTGGTCTGTGGTGCCTTACCCAAAAAGCCTGTGAATGAGTTTCCCAGCTTAGTAATAGGGTACCAAAATTTCATCTAAACTGCATGTACACACACTGAAGAGTTCCCCTCAAGATGTGCGTGTACACGCACTGAAGAGTTTCCCCTCATCATTATTTGTAATTTACTGTAGCTTAGAATACATTGATTTTGAGAATTTAAAATACATATTGTTTGGAATTTCTCTGAATGTGGGAAAAACAAAACCTGTGGGGCTTTAAGTTGGGTAAATACTGTAGGCAATTTTTCATTTTATTAAAGTTTCATTAATTTCAGATATTCTATTTTAGTTGTTTTTTTTTCAATGCATTTGTACAACTGTAGCAACACAGCAGTGAGTTAATGCAGTGTAAGAAAACCCCAATGCAAGGATGAGATAGTAGTGCTCACTTGGATTTTTAGCCCACTTGGTACAGGAGAGTTTACAGGGTACATGTTAGATTTCACTTTCAGCCAGATGCACCAAGTTCCATTGTAAAAGAAGTGAAAAAAAAACCTTTATCGAACAGATGTGCATTCCAAATAATGGGCCGTTCTTATAAAAACTATAAAAAAAAAACCTGGTTATGTATAAAAGTGACAAGTGAGGCTTACAAGTATTTTAACAAGTTATTTCATTATATTAATTTTTCTGCAGGTTTTTTATTTAGCCATTGTGTTTTATAAAACTTTGTTTTAGCAGATTCTAGTTAAAGACTTAACTTGTCAGGTATTCTTTGGCCATATATTCTCGGTGTTTACTTGAAGAGACAATGTTTATTTTTCTACTTGTAAACTTTCATGTCTTAACACTAGCACAGAGTAGATGAACCATAAAATGGAAACAGTAGCTTGAGGCTTAAGAAAATAAATTTTTATATTAACATTGTATAACATGGTGTTTGATAGTATGTACATACACTTGACAGTAAAGTGATTTTGAAGATCTTGTTGAGGTGGTATTTGTTTTTATTTATGGTAAAACATCTTTCTACCACACAGATCAACCCCTACATTCAGAGTTAACTTTTTGATTAAGGTGATTCATAGTTTTAAACATCTTCAGATTTTTAAACAGGTTTATGCACTTCCATCTGGTAAAATATGGTTTTAAAAAAGTACATTTTAAAAGAATATAAACTTTGGGAACAAAATAATGATTAATTCTTGCAGATTCTGCAATTTTGGGGCCAAAAGTGGTCCACCAGTTGGGGTGCTGCATTGGTGCATGCTATCAAAATTATAATTTTAAAATCACACTCCACTTTCTGGGTCATGGATGCATTAGAAAGGTAATTGCCAAATCCCACTATCTGATTAAAGAGTTAATGGTAAGTGGTGTTGATTTTAGACGGGCGGTTACCAGATCCCACTATTTAATTAAAGAGTTAATGGTAAGTGGTGTTGATTTCAGAAAGGTGATTGCCAAATCCCACTATTTGATTAAAGAGTTAATGGTAAATGGTGTTGATTTTAGACAGGCGGTTACCAGATCCCACTATTTGATTGAAGAGTTAATGGTAAGTGGTGTTGATTTTAGACAGGCGGTTACCAGTTCCCACTATTTGATTGAAGAGTTAATGGTAAGTGGTGTTGATTTTAGACAGGTGGTTACCAGATCCCACTATTTGATTGAAGAGTTAATGGTAAGTGGTGTTGATTTTAGACAGGCGGTTACCAGTTCCCACTATTTGATTAAAGAGTTAATGGTAAGTGGTGTTGATTTTAGAAAGGTGGTTACCAAATCCTACTATTTGATTAAAGAGTTAATGGTAAGTGGTATTGATTTTGTCTTGTAACTTCAATGTTATTGATAGCTAATGCAAATGACCAACTAGTAGCTTTGTGCTAAATTCAAACAAACCATAATATTATACACGTTTTACTAACAAAGATGACACAATTTTGTCGCATGTATGGGCTATATGCTCTGTTGGGCACTTAAATTACAAACACATCTTATATATACACACACACACACACACACACACACACACACACACACACACACACACACACACACACGACGTCGTGTGTGTAGTAC